AGAGAGGGGGGGGGAGGGGAGGGATAGAGATGGAGGCTGCCGAGATGGAGATTATATAAACGAGAAAGGAAGGCATTCATGATCAAAAAGTGCATTTCACTCTGAACCACAGAGGCATAATATTTTCTGCACAATACACTAAAGTACACCTGCAAACCAACACCTGAGTGTCAGACATACCTTTCCCTTTCGAATCTTTTTGATGAGCCTTCCCTTTGAATCATAGACGTATTCAAACTCATCTCCTGCGTCCTTTCCACCTTTCTGTCGACAGAAAAAAGACATACGCATATTTAAGAGAATTTTTGAAAGAAGAGAGCTCGTTCCTATTTTGAAGACACATATTAATTTATCGTGCGCAGAGTATTTGATTCTATGCTGGGCTTTACCAGTTTGTCTGTATTATGGTTACGACGTTTATCTATGTTCTTTGTACCTTCAAAGTCTTCCAGAAACACCTTTAAATTTGCACAAACTTCAAATTTTGAGTATCATGTCCTTTTTTAAAAATGTTAACTTTTTATCGGTTTTCAGGCTTTATGTTCAGGATAAGACACGTTTCTACTATTGGTCAAAGGTACGAAACAAGCAATGATTAAAAACTATGCCAAGGGGAAACAAAATTATTAGTAACACATTGCTGCAAATCCCCTACTGGACCGCGTTCTTTGTCAGTCCGCACAACGTCACGCACATCTGAGCCAGTTTATGATGTCTTCTTAAGGATTGCTATGAGCACACTTCCTAGAACATATATTATAATACTTCTGTAAGTGCTTTGTAAAGGTGTAACTTCTAAGTTTAGAGGGTGATTGTGCAAGGTTTACACTAGGGTTTTAATGACTCATTCCTAGGATTAAAGGGTTGTTGAATTATTGTTTGCATAAAATGTCTTGCGTCATGAAATGAATTTGGCTATATCATATTGTGAAGCATGACAAAACATTCTTTACCATAAAACGCTTTGATACAGGCTGGGGATTTTTTTTTAAAAATTGAATCGCATTAAGTGTAGTGGTAAGATACGAAATTTATCTCTCCAAGTAATTTGTTACAGGAGGCTCTGGTGATGTCCTTATTTTTAAGACGTATCATTTCTTAGTGAAATAAATAGGGGGGGGGGG